TACGTATCGAAATTTAACCGTTAAATTTCGATTTCGAAGGGTTGCGACACAATCGATAACCTTCGAAATCTAATGTTACGATATAATTTCGAAGGTTTTCGAATTAATATAATTACTGATATATTTTAGTATCATGCATCCGATATTCAAGATAATATTGGGGTAGGGTTAGGAATCGTCTTAATATTTAAACTTGATTAATCGTCATGAATAATCGAAGAATAATCACAAATAATCGTTAATTATTCACGATTATTCGACAATTATTTAATGATTATTCAGCGATTATTCGACGATTATTTGCAATTATTCAACAATTATTTACGATTATTTAATGATTATTCGACAATTATTCAACAATTATTTGACGATTATTCAATGATTATTCAATGATTATTCAACAATTATTCGACAATTATTTGTAATTATTCAACAATTATTCACAATTATTCAATGATTATTCACAAATATTCAATAATTATTTATAGATTTTTGCACAGTTTTTTTACAATTGTTTTTCTTTAAACCAAGCGATCGTGACGTATATCGAAGTTACAGGGATAAAATACATATCATTTTGTAACTAAAAATAATGCTGATCTATCTATCTTAGAAATACCTTAGTAAAAAATCTCTCTGTGCCTCACAAAATGCGAGCAAAGTTAAAAAATAGAAAAAACATATAAAAATCTTGTGCAAGTATTGAAATTTGTATAAATTTTCACCTAATAAAATTTCCTGATGAAATAAATATTTGTTTCTTTTAAATAAAATATTTATTTAACATTCAATTTTGATATTAATTAGTAAATAACAAAGTTTATTATGTAATAATGCAATTACAAATTTAAAATTTCCATATTAAATTAATTTGATAATATTTTTATTTAAAATATAATTAATATTAAATCAAAATTAACATTTAAAATTGATAAATTAATATTAAAAATTATGATTATTAAGGAAATATTTCTACATATGTATTATTTCATTTAATAAAAAAAATTTGATTGACTAAATGTGAATTTAACCTATTTCTAAGAGAAGTTATATGAATTCCATTATTTGAAAATAATCTTATGGATGGTACAGATGTTGTAGAAATTGATAAATATTTTTGTGCCAATTTTAATAAATTAGGATATGAATTACAATTTGTTTTCCACAAAATTAAGGGATCACTTTTTTTATGTATTAATAACTCTTTTATTTGTAAATATTGTTTAAATTTATTTGAATTAGTTCTAAATTCTTGATTAGAAGTTGAAGAAAGATGAGAAAAAAAAGATGATATTAAAGATGTTAAATCTGTTTCTAATGAACTTTGAATTTCATTAGATGACAAATTTACAATTTTTTCAATTTCTTTTTTAATTTTGGCATGTATTTTTTTTTTTTTTTTTTTTGTTCCAGCAAGGTCTTGCCTCAAATTTATTAATTAGAAAAAGAAAAAGTTTTTTACATTATATAAGATTACATAATACAAAATACATAACTTATTCTAATGTTTGTTAGAAAAGATGAGACTCGAACTAACTCATAAGAGACGGGCCCGCAACCTACTGCCTGATTTTGTCATGTATAATATTACATATATTCTAAATAATAATTATATAAAAAATTAAATATTATATATATTATTTTTAATTAAAAGGATATATACTTACTTATAAACAAAAAGTTAAATTTTTAAATCTAGGATCTAAAAATGATGCAGTTAATTCATAATTATTTGAAATATTCCATCTTGTTTCAAGATCATTTAAAATAGTATTACAAATATTTGAAATTGTAATATTTGTAATAGTAGTATTTTTTGATTTTATATTTTTAAAATTACATATAACTTCATCAATTATTGAAGCAGTAAGAGCTAATGTTGTATAATTTTCTTCTCCTAATAATCTTGTTACTCGTTTAGCAGAAACTAATAATTTTATTAAATCTTAAATGGTTTTCCATTCTGTTGAAGTGGATAAAAGTTGATCTATAATATTAAAATCATGAACATCAATTGATAAATTATTATTTTTTAAGTTATTAGCTAACCATTTAATTGAATTTTTTAATTTATAAAGTCGAACTAAAGTATTGTAAAAAGAATTCCATCTTATATCTATAGGCTTAATAATTTCAACTGTTTCATTTTCTTAAATTTGATTACACATAACTTGTGTATGTCTTAATTGTTATCTTCTTTTATTACTTCCCAAAAAAATAATAAGATTTTTTACTTTTGTTATTAGAGAATTAATTATTTTCAATCCTTTAGTAACTGATAATTGTAATGTATAAGCAGTACATGGGATCCAATCTTTTTCCAATCTTGTTACTACAGATTTAACATTACTTCCATTATCTGTAACTATAATTATTATTTTATCTTCCAAATTCCAGTCATCAAAAACTTCTGAAACATGATGAGCGATTTCAACACCAGTATATGAATATGGTATTTTTTCAACATTTAAAATCATGTTACAAATTTCAAATTCTTTGTTAATTCAATAAGCAGTAATACCCAAATATGAATCATGTACTTTTGATGACCATAAATCAAAAGTTAAATGAATATAATTAATAGAATTAATTATAATATTTTTGAGTTGCCTTTTCATATAATTATATGAAAGATCTATTAAATTTTTAATTATATTAATGTAAGGAATAGAAAATTGTGAATTGAGAGTATTAATATAATTTTTAAATAAATCACTTTTAACAATAGATAATGGTTATCTTGTTCCTACTATAAATTTCACAAGATCTTGATTTAATAATTTTTGTCTTCTTGAACTAAGAGGTCTTAATAGAAGTTCATCAATAGATTGTTGTTTTTTTGATTGTTTTAGATTGCTTATTTCTTCTGGAGTTTTTGAAGATAATAAAGCTTCAGTAATATGATGATCATCACGAAGATATTTTGTATAATCAATTCCTGCAACATCTGTACCATCCGAAAGATTAGTTGTAGAACCATGATAGGCATATTTGCGTGTACAATCTATTATTTGACAAATTGCATAAACAACATATGTTTCTGTATCATGATCAGTTATGAAAAAATTCCAAACAAAACTAGTTCTCAATATTGTTACTATTTTTGATTTTTTTGATTTTGATTTTTTTCCTTTAGAGATTTTTAATAAAACAGATGTTTTTCTTTTTCTACGATTTTGAAGACGACTTGAATTACTTAGAATATTATTGTCACTG